ACACACACACACACAGAGATATAGGCTCAGGGGAATAGCATACAGTAAGAGGGCAAAAGCACACAGCTGGATAGAAGCTTTGGCACTGATGAAGCTTGGCAGATTTCACCCTTCAGTTCTCTTTGTAGAACAATACACACTGTGAGCAAGTGTTGCTGCGCAGCTGTGCATTGTGTTTGTTTTAAAATGTTTTCTGCAGCTGATAGTAAAAGCTCACTCATGCATCTAGAGGTTCAGGTTAGTTTTATTTGTCCAGGTTTTAGGAAGTCTCTGACATTTCTCAATACAATGGTTGGAATGTTTTTTTTTGATGTCCTTCCCTTTAGTGTGTATAGGCTTCTGTGCTTTAAAATGGTCTGCAAAGGCTAAAATCCCTGTGTTCCCTCCAGAGGGAGTTTCTCTCCCACACATCCCCCCCCCTGCCTGAAACGCCTCCATTGGACTCCTTCGTTTACTTCCGGATTATAATGACATCACTATATAACCTTGCCCTTCTATTGTCTAGCACTTCAACACATTGTACGTGATTTGCTAAGGGACTATTCCAACAAGTGGTTGATAAATCTAAACCAGCTAACCAATCAGAGCAGACTGGGCTCTGGTTTCAGACAGAGGGTGAAAAGAGGTGCTGCAGCACAGGCAGTATGCGGAAAATAAATACCTTTTTTGAACCTGTACAATTATATGTCACAGAAGAAACACAAAAACCAAATATGCACCTAAAAACGAGCATAATGTGTCCTCTTTAATTAGTTTAACAGCAAAATCCCTGTCCATGTTCCCAGAGCACACACATGAAGGTGAAGCTTTTTTGTAAAAAGAGGGATATATCTTTTTGGGGCTAATCTTAGATACCCTACACATAACTGTATTTCATCACCTCACTGATGCAAAAAAAATCCTATATAAATCCAGGGTTGCTATAAAGCAGTCCTGCTTATTGAACAGCAACAATTCACCCAGTCATATCCTGTATATCCTATGTATACTATATATCTATATTAACAATAGATACAAAAAGTACAGAACTTAATGCAAAGAAGTACAAAGGTTCAAGGTACCATGCGGAGGTCTATCTTCCGGACTACTAAATTCAGCTTTGAAAATATTTGAAAATAAGGTAAATGCATTCAGCACATGAGAGCATGTGAATATAACCAGGTGTGCACATAACTTTTTGAGTGAGTTACTCAGATGAGTACCAGGAGACAGCGTTTGGTACTCACCCCACATGAAGCGTGGTGTTAATAAGTGCAGTCTTCCTCACTGTCCTCCTCAGTGTCTCCTTCACTGTCCTCTATTTACACTTCTTGCATGCTAGATGATGAAGATGATGAAGATGCACCTCCCTGTCTCTTTGTAAGCCTCCGATTTGCTTTCTCCAAAACTTGTTGCCAAAACTGTGAAGTCCTTGCATTTCCTGAGGCCAAGTTGAAGGATCACATACTAAGAAATTATCACATGACTTGAAGTCATATCTGATTTCAGAGGTGGGAAGTAACAAAGTACACTTATTCAAGTACTGTACTTAGGTACAATTTAAGATACTTGTAGTTTACTTGAGTATTTCTATTTTATGCTACTTTGTACTTCTACTCCACTACAGTTCAGAGGTAAATCATGTACTTTTCTTCCACTACATTTATTTAATACCTTTAGTTACTTTACAGATGTGGATGAATGATGTGAAAATATAATCAAGTGTTAAATCAGACTTTAGTTCCACCTGGAGTAAATCCACAAGCTACCCTGCAGTATACAAAGTCATTCAAACTAATTTTTAAACACTTTAATGATCAATAATTATAAAACATATCATATACATTATTATGAAATGGACCAATCTGCAAAATGACTACTTTTACTGTCGCTACTTTAACTAGGTGTTGATGATAATACTTTTCTAATTTTACTTGAGTAACACTTCTTCCACCTCTGTCTGATTTCAAACTCTTCCATTAACAGCCTGAGTAAGTTTGCAGCTGTGTGTTTTACTCCACTTTGTTGTAAATAAAACTGCAGCAGCTTGACCACAGAGCGTGGACGTTGTGATCAGCTGATTTTGCGCAGTTCTCCAGTGTGTGCGCGGGGCACAGAATGTGCACAGGGGAGTCTCCCACCGCAGCCAGTTGACGTAGTTTTGGTACAATTCTGTTGTACACACCGACGTTAACAGCAGCTCCGTCTGTGCACACGGCGACCAACTCTGTCGTCCAGTGATCTAAGCCTCTGCCTCCTGTGAAGCTTCACAGGTCCGTCGGTTATGTCCTGCGCGGCACGGCCAGCACCCAGTTCAATCAGTCATAGAAAGTCTGAAGATTTTAGCAGGGAGCGAAACGGCAAAGTGGCTGCTTAATGTCTTTGTTTTTTTTGGACATGTCTAATAATTTACTCCACTGAGTATTGACAAGAAACATGTGTAGGCGAAATATGTGTTTTGTTTTGATGACCTATCAGGTACGCAAAGGCGCGTTGTGACACAAGTGACGTTACGCATTTCAGATTGTTGCCGCGCATGCGTACCTGCGTACCAGTTATGTGCACCCCTGAATATAACTTTGTTTCGTTACAAAGAAGGCTATACAGCACATCTTTATTGCTCACATCAATGTTGTCATTGCCAATTGGGACCAAAACCTTTTTGACCAAGCAGCAAAAAGAAGCCAATAACCAGAGAACATGTCTGTAGTTAAGCCACTGTCAATCAAATCAATGCCAGTCAGATGAAGCACATTAGCCTTTTTAGTGTTACACTCTAAATCTTTTTACTTTGATCACATCAGCCAAAAAGGAAGAGAGGGTAAAAACAAAATGTTAAGTAATTGGGTTGCACTGATTTTACATTAATTACCTTGTTTAAAAAGGGTGGTTATACAAAATTCAAATTTCCTTCAAATGGAAAGGGGCTCATTACAAGATAATAATCAATGACAATAATTACTTAGGAGGTTAAACACTTTCTCAGGGGTTCACACCTTTGTTGCATTGCACCTCTTAGACTTAGGGGGCCTTCGTAAATAGTGATGAAGTGCCTTAGCACACTCTGTACTGTGACATTCAGATATTTGGAGCAGCATGCTTTCGTAGCAGCAGAGCATATTTTTAACGGAATGTGTGAAAGTGATATTTTTTCATACTATATAATGAAACTTCTTGCTAGCTAATTAGCACACGTTTCTTCTGATTAAACTGTAGCTTTAGTCTAATTTAGCTAATGGCGTCATAATCATCTCTTACATTGTCATCCTCACTGACAAGCATGAGACACTTATTTTGTATTCTACATATGGATTGTAACGTTTTTGTGCAGAGTATCCGCCTTAGGAGAAAAAAACTAGACCTCAGATGGGAGCTAAGCTACTGTAACTCCGCCAAAGCTCTTCCACTGCTCTTGCTGATGTAAGGTTGTCGTACAGTGAGATGGATGAAATAATACTTGGGCTAACCTAGCCCCATGAGATCAGAGACTGTTGTGCCCACATCTTTACTCAGCTCTGGCTCCACAGTGGCATCCCAAATCAAGCTGTTGCACTTGACAGGCAGGACAGAGTGCAGGACTCTAGTTGGATAAGAAGAGGACAATTATTTGCTTATATAAATGGTGCTCGGAGGTCAAAAATAAAGTTGATGGATAATGTGTTGTTAATATTGAATTGTTAATGTTCGACATCTATATTAACTGACAGTAAAAAACACTAATATTTTTGTCGTTGCTGTTTACATTCCTCCTTCAGCAAATTCTAAAAAATACAATCCAAGCGGCATGGACAATTCAGGAGTGGGGGGGCTTGGTACTGAGCTTGAAACCGCCTCTGGCCCCCCTCGAAAATAAATATTCATGATAATACAGTTTTTGAATGTGTGACATCAAAGACTGTGCTGTAGCTTTGGTAAGAAAAACAAGATTGTCTTTCTTTTGATAATGTCATTTAATCAAATTGCGTCAAGTCATTGAAACAAATTCTGTCACTAAAACAAATACCAATCCTGTTTTGCTTTGTTTTTTATTGTGGCTATGATTCTAGACTTGACAAAATATGTTGAAATCTTGGGCCGTCCCCTTCGTCTCTTTTTCGCCTTTTAAATGTGACCTTTTTATAAAATAACGGGCCCCAGTACGGCCCCCCAGTAAAAATCGTCTCGAACTGCAACTGCAAAGGTGCACAAAAATAAATGGACAATGTTAAAAACTGAATCTTTTGTTTGAACCTGACAACCTGGTCCTTGAGACTTTGTTTTCGTTCACAGTTATTAGCATAACATATATTTTCAAGCAAATGCACTGCCATACTACAGCAGCTACAATCATCTATCTGAAGAATCCTGTTCTATTCATTCTACCAACTGCCTCTGACATGGCTTTCATGTTTCTACATTTTTATAAATATAGTCTAGCTATGTATAGAAGACCCGGCATTCTCTGCACCTAAGTCAAGGCCTGTTGCATGGTGGGAAAGGAGATGGGTCGGAGGTGGGGCGCTTGAGGATACCGTGACCTAGATGACTGAGCTGGAATGATTGGCCTTGCGGCGCTCAACGTGCTGCCATACCAATGCTCCCGCAGGATCCTGGTGACACAAGATGCATGTCTCATCTGCCTTTGTTCTGTGGGGACGAGGTTTGGAGTGTTCAGGAATGTCAATTAAATACGTAACTACGAGCTTCTGCATCACAGCCATTGTGCTGTTTCTGAAATTGAGTGCATGAGGGGCATCGTAACATGCATCTATTTTAAGAATAAGACGTCACTACCTAATGTATAGCTGCAGAAATAAAAAAATGGTTTTCTTTGAAAGTATTATTATTTTGCTAGATAAAACTGAGATTCTCAAATGCAACGTGATGCATTCAGCCTTTTCAACAAGCAAACTGCCCTGGGATAGAGCTGTCACTAATGGTTTGTTTGGTCATTTGTTTGCAGGGAATAGGTTCTTAATGAAACCATTCTAAACATTCCTCCATCTCTTTCTCTTCCTTTCTGTTTTTTTCTGACTTTTCAGGATATTACGTTTCCAGTTCCATGGTTGAGGAGGGTCTGAAGTGGGAGAGTCGTCACCTTTTGCAAGAAGTCTACGAAAATGATTCAAAGCTCTTCCCAGAGCTGGAAAAAAACTGCACAGACCCAGGTAAGACTTAGACTGAGATCCATGCAAAACAAATACATGGCACAAGAAGCTCTTATTAGTGTATGATACGTGTATGATACAACTGTATATTACTGTAGAGTTGCCAATCTCTACTATGTCTTATCAGAGCCAAAGCCCAATATGCCACATTATATTTCTTTATTTCTTTTGGCCAAAATGGTGTGAGGTATGGCTCTTCTTCCTTATCTCTTTCTTTGGATATGGTTATAGACTATATAGGTATTCCCCAGAGAAGCGTAATGGGACCACTTGTGTTGTCACTATGCAAAGGAGTGGTGTTCACTACATATCAATATGCAGGCAGTGATGAATATGCAATGTATATAAAGAGAATTTCCGAGGTCCACATTTCTTCCAAATTCTCTTCTGTAGTAAGTCCCGGTGCTACAGCAGACACCTAGTTTTAATCATAGGAAAAACGTTCTTTAAGGGCCGGTGGTAACTTTAAGACTATATAGATATATCTATTCTTTATATTATTACATAGCCTCAGCATTTGATCATTTCTGGTCAAAGTAATAACTTGAAAAATAACTATCTCTGAAAGCTGAAGTCTAGGGGAAATAATTGCAAGCAGATATTCAAGTGTACAACAATTGCACAATTTATTATAACAATTTTAAAACATAAGGTCTGTGAAAAAACCACATGCATTAATGTATGTGCATAGACACAAAAGGACCAATCGCAGAATGTGCCCTAGCGACATCCGACTGGAGTTGACAGAGAGGGTCACATATTCTGTTGAAAATGCTGGCTGCATCTTAATTCTTGGACTTTTCTTGCTTTTAATGGTGGCTGATGCTAGCAAACTTGGCTAAGTGTTTGGCCTCGGTGTTCCATCATAAATTGTATTCCCTGAGCACTGCCAATGCTTTGTAGCAGCAGCACACTGCCTGGAGCAGAGGTGGGAGTAAGTCCTACATGTGCAAGTCATGAGCAAGTCTCAAGTCTTGACCTACAAGTATCAAGCAAGTCCCAAGTCACTGTGGTGAGAGTCAAGCAAGTCAAGTCAAGTCATTGCTCAGGTCAAGCAAGTCAAGTCAAGTCAAGTCATACGGAATTCTGATGAATAAGCCCAGTTTCCGCATTTAAATCAGTTAAAAGACAGTGGTTATGAAAATGGATTCAACCCACACTATGATCTTCATTACACAGTTAATAATTTGAAATCTAATTTAGACCGATGACAATCATATTAGATTCATATTAACCCTAGAACTGCAGACAATATAGCTAGGACTCAATCAAAAAGTCTGTTCAAAAAGGCAGAATTCCAGGTAAGAAAATCATATATGGCATTTGCAATTACACATATTTAATTTAAATGTCTGTTAACACTAGAACCGCCAACAGCGTCAGCACCTACATAGATATCATTTTCAAATCATTTAATTTGTTCCTCTTCATAATTTCCTTATAAACTAAAAGTAGGACGATTTAAAACTCACTTAATTGGGTTAATTTAGAAATTGCTTCAGTTTATCATCATAACAGATCAAAAAGTTCAGATTCATTTTTACAATAAATCAAGGAATGATGCACTTCTACAAACAAAAACAACATAATTAAAACATTTAAACAAACTACTAAAAGTAGATGAACTACATTATTCAACAGTTTACAGTAACTTCTGATAATAACACAGGGGAAATAAAGGAGGCATCTCTTTTCCTCTCTCTCTCTCTCTCCCTCTCCTGACAGCACGTCAGTATCGGGGTTAGTCAAAATGAATCCCTTGGCGGTTCTAGTGTTCATTTACCGTTTTGTCTTCTCTTTGCAATGCTTCATCGATTAATATTCGCCAGGGCTGTCCGATTTTCGAATTTGATCATGGTCAGTTTCTGGCATCCCTAGTTTGCGCGCATGGCGCTATAATCACCCAATCACGTTTCGAAAAAACTAAATGTAATATCTCAATACAAAAACAAACGCAAATATTTAATTTTAAACAGTCAAGTCCTTTCAAGTCATCTGTCTCAAGCTTAAGTCAAGTCTCAAGTCATGAATACCAAGTCAAAGTCAAGTCAAGTCTTTTATCAATGTTAGTCAAGCAAGTCTCAAGTCCAAAAATATGCGACTCGAGTCCGAATCGAGTCAAGTCATGTGACTCGAGTCCCCACCTCTGGCCTGGAGTGCCAAATAAGGTCACCAAATAAGAAGCATTGTGGGACATGTAGTTTGTGGACACCATACTTCTGTAAAGCAGCATACAGTTCTATAATAAGGAAATTATATTTTTTGTAAACTGTCCCGGGCCACATAAACTGATAAAAAGAGTGAATGAATTAATTTAGCTGACGATTTTATCCATAGCCACTTACAAATGATCAATACCATAGACATGCCATCAGGAGCAATATTGGGTTACCTATCTTGCCCAAATAGACTTAAACATATCCACTGCAGGGACTGGGAATCAAATCACAGACCCTTTGATTGTTAGACTCCCATTTAACCCCTGAGCCACATCTGCCTACTGCATTCACAGTGCTATGGACTTATCTAGCACCACCAACGGGTCAATGTTTTTTATCATCCCGTAAAATATCAACATCCACACACACACACACACACACACACACACACACACACACACACACACACACACACACACACACACACACACACACACACACACACACACACACACACACACACACACACACACACACACACACACACACAGAACCATACACTGAAAATCTCAGGAGAGCTGTCTACAGAGAAGCTTGACTGACGGTAAAAAAGGACAGCACTTCCTCTGTGGAGCAGCTAAAGACAAACCGGGAGAGAGCTTGAGGGAGATGTTGGCATTCAGATGAAAGCGGATTAAAAAAAAACTTCTCCCAGGTAGAAATCCTCTTTTTTTCTACAATAGACGAAACGCTGCTGTCGTCACGCTGCTCGTATCTCTATGTGTCAGATCCCTTTGTGCGTACCAAAAGCTCTCATGTTGTATGTTTGTGGTGTGTGTGTGTGTGTGTGTTTTCCCCAAGGCGCGGAGTGTGTGAGTGTTTTCCATGTGGAATCCTGGGGCTTTACAAGGCTGACGTCCTGCCAAGCATTCTCTTGATCTCATTGTAAACACACCGCCCTCACACACACACACACACACACACACACACACACACACACACACACACACACACACACACACACACACACACACACACACACACACACACACACACACACACTCTCACACTCTCACACTCACACACAGCGTTCCTCCTGCCTGCAGTTTGGGGTGCACAGACACCGGATTGTGCAGTCTGCAGACTGAATTTGTACGGATGAGTTATATTTAGACAGCACATTGTTTATAGCCTGTTTCTGTTTAATTACGCTTTGTCCGCTGAAACACTAATTATCTTAATAGGGATTATTCCTGCTTTCCTGCACTAAAAGGGCCCTTCAAAAAGTGCTCCTTATGCCTCACTCGCTCTCTCTTTTTTATTCTGTCGCTCCATTATCATCTGTTCAGCTCTCTTGTCCCCCCAGAGCACTCGCTGTCTCCTGCTTTTTTGTGTTTTTCTATCTCTCTTGCTCTTTTGTAACATAACATTTCAAGTTTCAAGCCTTAAAGATACAGCGCAAAATGAGGAGATGTACGCACAAGCATCTTCCTGATGATTTGGAAACATTTGCACGCAATAATCCTTCAAAACAAATATTTGATCTGATGTGGAGAATGTCAATAATCTTAGAAACAGAGAGAGTGGTTCATTTGAATTGTTTTATTTGTTCATCTTCCTGCAATATTAGAATCCAAACACAGTTAAATAGCATTTAAATAAAGATGACGAATATTTAACATCTAGTCTAGGTCACAGCAATACTAACAGTTGTGTTTTTAGATAACTGCTCTGAAGTTGGCGTGCTAGCGTCAACAGAATGGCAGTTTCTGTGTAATCTAGTCCGCCTACGTTCTTATCAATTATTTTTCTTTATAAACCAGTTAAGGACATATTAAGGTCATTTTCAGGTTCATTTTTGTATTGTTTGCCTCTACTGTGACATGTTTCCATGCTTTAAAGGTCCCATGTCATGCTTTTCCGGTTATTACCCGTCCCCTTGTGTGTTATGAAGGTTTTTCTGCATGTAAACGGTCTGCAGAGTCAAAAACCCTCAAAGTACACCCTGTAGCGAGTAAAACTCTAACACAGAAAAGACCTGTCTATGCTGCCCCAGAACTCCTCGTTGGAGATTTCTCATTTTCCATTGTTTGCTTCCTGGGTTCTGTGACGTGTGAACACCCAAATCAACAACAAATGACCGGATTGGCCCAAATGGACCAATCCGCGGAGCACCTCACACACCAGGATCCCTTGGCTAACTAACAGGGAGTCCCCATTGACTTGCATAGAGCTCCCTGAACGCTGGTAATAGACGAGTTGGGATCGCGGAGAAATGCTCTCCGCAGACCCATTCTCACAGCGTTATAAACCTTTTTCTTACTCAATATCAAGCCACACTTATTGTTTTTACTTCGGCTGTGAGTATTTGTGTGTGCTCAGGACAGTGGCGGCGCCAGGGTATGGCTGGGGTAGGCTACAGCCATACCAAGAAATGGCTTAGCCCCACCTTAGCCCCACCATGAAAAATGATGTTAAAGTAAGCAAATTAAATAATAAGCAAAATGCTAAATGTTGAGAACACGGCTTGCGAAAATATACGGGTTGTGTCCACAACACACAAACTGATCCTGCTGTAACAACAAGTGCACGTTACTGATGCAATATGGTTGAGACCATTCGGGCTTATGCTATAAGAGGGGTGCAAGGAATAGTCTAAGAGTAGTGGAGGAGTTTTATACACTAAAGGTGTGGAAATTCTCAGGCGTTATAATATCAGCGCGGCCGCGGTCAGATCAAAATGCCTCCGAATGCAATTTGAATAGACCTACAGATTGAGATCAATCGGAACCGCCATTCAGTATCCCCATTGGATCTTCAACGTGTACTATCATACGTCAC